CCAACTCACCCTGGGAATACGTGAGATTACAAGGCAGAGACGACGCAGGGGTGACTGTGATATCCACGGACGTCGCGTTCGGTTCCCTCCCGAGCATTCCGAGGTCGACGGAGTGCTGCTGGAGGATGCCTTGGGCGCCGAGGCCTATCGCTGGGGTGGCTGTAAGGGGGGGGGGGGTTGGTGGGAGGTAGAGTGGGGGATGGGAGTTGGGGGAAGGGGGATGGGAGTAGGGGGAAAGGGGGAGGGGGAAGGGAGTGGGGGAAGGGAGTGAGGGATGGGAGTGGGAGTAGGGGGGAAGGGGGAGGGAGAAGGGTGTGGGGGTAGGGGGAGGGTGGAGTGAGGGGGAGGGAGTGGAAGAGGGTAGGGAGCGGGTGGGGTGAGGGGAGTGGGTTAGGGAAGGGAGGGAGAGGGATGAGGGAGGGGTAGGGAAGGAAAGAGGTGAGGGAGGGGTAGGAAAGGGAGGGAAAGGGTGAGGGAGGGGTAGGACAGAGAAGGAGGTAGGGAGGAAGTATAGGGTGAGATGAAGGTAAGGGGGAGAGGGGAAGGAGAGGGAGGAGAGAGAGGAGAGGGGGAAGAGAGGGAGGAGAGGGAGAGGAGAGGGGGGAGATGGAGGTAAGGAGGAGAGGTAGGGGAAGGAGAGGTAAGGGGGGGGAGGGAAAAGGGGGAGGAGAGAAGGGGAAAAGGTGAAGGAGAGGAAGAGAGAGGAAGGGGAGAGGGTGGAGGGAAGGGAGGAGAGGGAGGGTGGCAGAAGGAGTTAGAGAGGGAGATAGGGGGAAAAGGTGAAAGAGAGAAGGGAGAACAAGTGAGGGTGAGAGGGGAGTGAAAAAGAGGGGAGATAGGGGGGAAATGAGGAGAGGAAGAAAAGAGAGAGAGAGTAAGAGGGAGGAGAGTGGGAAAGAGACGAAGGGGAGAGAAGGGTGAGAAGGAGGTAGGGGGAGATAAGGAACGAGAGGAAGAGGAGAAGACGGAGGGAAAGAGAGGAATGTGAGAGGGGAGAGGAGGAAGGAAGAAGAAAAGGGGGGGGTGGGTAGGAAAGGGAAAGTTTCAGTCATACCCTTCTTTATTAAACAAAATTTCTAACCCCCCAAAGAAAGATACATGAACAGCCAGCATATCAAACACTAAAAAATATTTCCCACAAAGATAACTTGCCACCTACCGGAAGTGTTCGCAGTCTGCTGGGCACAGGCAAGGCACGTAGCAGAAGGGGGCGTGGTCACAACGATAGGATTGGTGGAGGTCCCGCCTACAGCCCCGCCCTCCGCCTCGCTCCGCCCACTGTTCCCTCCCGAGCCACGCCCACTAGTTGACCCACGCCCACTCTGCTTCAGGAGGCGCAAGATGTCTTTTTTGATCGAGTCCATCTGGCCGTAAGCTCGTGCCGTTTCCCGTTTTCTGTCTTCTCGGAGTTCGTACCTGTGGCGTGGGAGGAAATGCTGAGTGATTGCCTATGTATATAACAGGGTAATAATATATGATCTATGGTATAATACATAATGTGACTATAATATGATGCATGATCTATGATTAAATACATGATGTGACATATAATGTAATGCATAATATATTGATATATGATATAATACATGATACAACATATAATATGATGCATGATATGTAATATATATATAATATAATACATGATACGACATATAATATGAGCCATGATATATGGTATATGATATAATACATATAACATGATGTATGGTATAATATATAATATGATATACGATAATATATACTGTAATATATAATATAATATGTAGTATGGTACATCTATCTTTCTGTCTATTCACTGATCTACCTATCTGTCTATCTGTCCCTATCCATCAATCTATCTCTCTACAATACAAATATATAGAAACGCCAAGCACACAGTTTTGATGGTGTGTATATATCTGTATCTCTATCTATCTACAATATAATACAATATATAGAAACGCTAAGCACACAGTTTTGATGGTGTGTATATATCTGTATCTCTATCTATCTATCAATCTATCTATCTCTTTCTTTATATTTGTGTATCTATCGTTCCATCTACCTCCTCATCTCCCTATCTCTATCTATCTTTCTACCTATATATCTATCTGTCTATCGTTCAATCCATCTACCTATCTACCTACCTATCCACCCATCCATCTACCTATCTATCCACCTATCCATCTACCTATTTACCTATCTACCTAACTATCCACCCATCCATCTATCTATCTATCCATCCATCTACCTATTTACCCATCCACTTACCTATCTACCTACCTACCTATCCACCCATCCATCTACCTACCTATCCACCCATCCATCTACCTACCTATCCACCCATCCATCTACCTACCCATCCACCCACCCATCCACCTACTTACCTACCTACCTATCCACCTATCTACCTATCCACCTACCTACCTATCCACCCACCCATCCACCTACCTACCTATCTATCTACCCATCCATCTACCTATCTATCCCACCTATCCACCCATCTACCTAACACACGACC